CAGGTATGACAATCATCCAGCTATGATGCAATGATACGAGTTATTAGGGATGTCACCTAGGTTGGTGAGTTCTGAGGTGAATAAAGAGGCCGGTACGGGGCCCGGCAGAGTCGTTCACATGAGTTGCACATGTGAACATATATAGTGCGGGAGGCGGTGACAGCGTCTTCCGGCGTTGTATGTCTGCCTCGGTTTGTAGCGGTCGGGTCGATTGGCACTTTCAGGTTTGTCTTAAGACTATCCTATGCCTTTTCAGTTGCCCGCCGGCGTTACGTTTACTATTCTTTAGGTGACTGTAAAGTAGCTACCTTGGCAGTCCTGTTCGTCCATGCGGGTAACAGCCAGTCAAGTGTAGTTGTTCATGGATAATGGTGGCCTCGATGCTCCTACAGTTGGTGTCAGCAAAAATACTGGCATTTCTTCTTGTCTTCAGCGAACACGGAGGATGGAACGGGACTACGTTGGTGAAATTTTCAAGTACCTGAGGTGCCTCCTGTATGTGACCAATGTCTCACTGCCATATAGCAGGGTGAGGACCACTGCTCGATATCGTGTACTAACTGTAGATAATTTCTCCCCAGCTGAAGGCACAGTTCCGAGTCTGATCCGATGCTGAATCTCTTCATCGATGTCCGGGGTGGTGGACAGGTGGAATGAGATACCGAAAGTAGGTAACATTGGAGGGTAGTACCGTTAAGCTGGATGGATGGTGGAGGTGTGTCTGAACCAGGGGCAGGCTGAAAGAGAATCTGAGTCTTACGTACATTCACCTCAAGGCCGAAGTGTGCATACACATCTTCGTAGGTATTCAGGATCTCCTGTAGGTCATGTTCAGTGTGAGGAACAAGGGTGAGGTCGTCTGCATATTGAAGTTCCGTAATGGAAGCTGTCGACACCTTTGTTCCTGCCTGGATCTCATCTTATGTTGAAAAGACCTTTCATCCGGTACTCGATGTCCACCCCGCCAGCTAAATTGGCATTGGCACTAGTAAGGAAGGCAGCCAAGAAAATGGAAAAGAGAGTTGGTGCCAGTACACACCCTTTTTTAACTCCTGTTTGAATAGGGAAGAACTCAGACTGGGTGCCGTTGTGCAGGACACTGCGGTTCATGCCATCGTGGAGTTGCCTCACAATGGCGATGAATTTTGGTGGGCAGCCAAAACGGCTGAGGGTGCACCAGAGGGCTTCCCTGATGACCAAGTTAAAGGCCTTGGTTAGGTCGATGAAAGCCATGTACAGGTTACGACGCTGTTCTCTGCACGTTTCCTGTATCTGGCGGGCAGCAAAGATCATGTCAGTGGTGCCACATGATGGTCTAAGGCCACAATGAGATTCTGGTAGGAAGTTTTCCGCCTCATGTAGTAGTCTGTTTGAGAGGATCCGGGCGATAATCTTGCCAGCTACGGATAGCAGCGAGATCCGGCGACAGTTGCCACAGTCTGACCGGTCTCCCTTGTTCTTATAAATATTGACGATGGAGGCGTCTTTAAGAGCTTGAGGGATTTCCTCCTCCTCCCATATATTCTCCAGCAGAGAGTGGAGACGGCTGGAAAGCAAAGGTCGTCCTGCTTTATACACCTCGGCTGGGATTCCATCAGGCCCTGAGGCTTTGTTATTTTTCATCTGTTTGATGGGATTACCTACCTCATCCAATGATGGAGGATTGCTGAGGTGGGTCAGCTCTGGATGCTTAGGGACCTGCTATGTAGTCAGGACATCCACAACTGTATTTTGGTTGAGTAGTGAATGGTAGTGCTCTCTCCAGCGATGAAGGATACCTTTGTCGTCTTTAATTAGGGACTTTCCGTCCGATGAGTGGAGAGGGGCTGTGCCACGAGTGATTGGCCCATAAAATGTTTTAGTGGAAATGAAAATGCGCGCATCTTGTGCTGATTTGCAAATTTTTGTGTTGCATATGCTTTATTTTTAAACCAGTCGTTCTTAAGATTGCGAAGTTTCCGCTGGGCCGCTACCCTCTTCTTGCGGAATGTATCAGCTTTGGGGGTATAGGGGTTTTGATGAAGAGAGGTATGATGAGCTGGATGATGGCTGGGCGTGAGTTGATTTATGTGGTGAGGCAGGAACGCAGGCTGCAATCACACATCTTGGCTCTCCCTTTTTCTGATCCAGTGGTGCAAGTGTTGCAACGACTGGGGAGAGGGAGAGTTGCAATGGACTACCGATAGTCCAGTTTGTTGGGTTTCGCCTTAGTAGCCTCTCCACACACACACACACACACACACACACACACACACACACACACACACACACACACACACACACACACCATTTACCTGTTTGATGTTGAGCTTGACAGTCGTCGTGTAGTCATCGTGGTGGAATTCCTCCAGTTTGTACTTGTTGGTGGACATGACCATCGTGTAGTTGTGTTTCCAGAAGGTCACCGCCCTCGGGTAGGCCTCCGTCTTACACTCCAGCCACACGGAGGATCCTAGGGGCGCCGACATGAGCTGGTTGGGGAGCAGTACGATGGGAGAGACTGTGAGAGAGAGAGAGAACGATGTGGTGAGAGGAAGTTAGGGAGGTGGTGAGTGGGGGAGGTGGTGAGTGGGGGAGGTGGTGAGTGGGGTGGGTGAGTGGGAGATGGTGGTGAGTGGGGGAGATGGTGAGTGAGAGGAAGTAAGGGAGATGGTGATGAGGGGGAGTGGGTGAGAGTGATGTGGTGGTGAATGAGAGTGAAGGAGAGAGAGGGATATGGTGTTGAGTGGGAGTGATAGAGATGGTAGTGAGTTGGCAAGAGAGAGAGAGAGAGAGAGAGAGAGAGAGAGAGAGAGAGAGGTATGACCCCTGACTATAAACTTAAGTCCTGGAACAGTATAATAGTTTGTTTATTTAGTCTCATGAAGAAGGAAAATGTCACAGCATTATTTACACACGACTCATTTTAAAGGTCGAGTGAGCGGCTGGTGACCTCCTCCTTGACCTATACTGACCTTCTTAACTTATACTGACCTCCTCCTTGACCTATACTGACCTCTTCCTTGACCTATACTGACCTCTTCCTTGACCTATACTGACTTTATCCCTGACCTATGTTGAAATCCTCCTTGATCTAAGCTGACCTCCTCCTTGACTTATACGAACCTCCTTGACCTATACTGACCTCATCCTTGACCTATACTGACCTTCTTAGCTTATACTGACCTCCTCCTTGACCTATACTGACCTCTTCCTTGACCTATACTGACCTCTTCCTTAACCTATTCTGACTTTCTCCCTGACCTATGTTGACCTCCTCCTTGATATAAGCTGACCTCCTCCTTGACTTATACTGACCTCCTTGACCTATACTGACCTCCTCCTTGACATATACTGACCTCCTGCTCGACCTATATTGACCTGATCCTTGAGTTATACTGACCTCCTCCTTGACCTATGTTGACCTCCTTGACCTATATTGACCTCATCCTTGACCTATACTGACCTTCTCCTTGACCTAACTGACCTCCTTGACCTATACTTGCCTCATCCTTGACCTATGTTGACCTCCTTGACCTTTACGGACCTCCTCCTTGACGTATATGGACCTCCTCCTTGACCTATATTGACCTTCTCCTTGACCTAACTGACCTCCTTGACCTATAATGACCTCCTCCTTGACCTATACTGACATCTTCCTTGACCTATATTGACCTTAGCCTATACTGACCTCTTCCTTGACCTATACTGACCTCTTCCTTGACCTATACTGATCTCCTCCTTGACGTATGGACCTCCTCCTTGACCTATATTGACCTTCTCCTTGACCTATGACCTCCTTGACCTATAATGACCTCCTCCTTGACCTATACTGACATCTTCCTTGACCTATATTGACCTTAGCCTATACTGACCTCTTCCTTGACCTATACTGACCTCTTCCTTGACCTATACTGATCTCCTCCTTGATCTATACTGACCTAATATACACACACACACACACACACACACACACACACACACACACACACACACACACACACACACACACACACGTAGATAACATCAACACAAAGTAAAATATAAACATGTATTTTTACTCGTAGTTCAACACAATGTTTATCAAATGTTATGTACTTGGTAATTAGTAATTGTTACCAGGTGTGTAAAATGTTTGATGATATTACAGGTATTTTTGTTCCCCTACAGGTAAACGAAAGTAATTAATTAACGTTCAGGTAAGTTAAAGAGGTGGGGGATATGACTGTCATGGTCTAGGTGGAGAAAATTAACTGTGTTGTGACTGTGTGTGTGTGTGTGTTAGATTGACTGTTACTGAGTCTACCATTATCTACCAGACTGTTACTGTGTCTACCATTATCTACCAGACTGTTACTGAGTCTACCATTATCTACCAGACTGTTACTGAGTCTACCATTATCGACCAGACTGACTGTTACTGAGTCTACCATTATCTACCAGACTGACTGTTACTGTGTCTACATTATCACCAGACTGTTACTGTGTTACCATTCTACCAGACGTTAAGAGTCTACCATTATCGACCGACTGAGCTGTTACTGAGTCTACCATTATCTACCAGACTGACTGTTACTGTGTCTACCATTATCGACCAGACTGACTGTTACTGAGTCTATCATTCTACCAGACTGACTGTTACTGTTCACCATTATCGACCAGACGACTACTGTGTCTACCATTATCTACCAGACGATCGTTACTGTGTACCATTATCGACCAGACTGACTGTTACTGAGTCTACATTATCTACCAGACTGTTACTGTGTCTACCATTATCTACCAGACTGTTACTGTTTCTGTTCACCATTATCTACCAGACTGGACTTTACTGTACCATTGTCACCAGACTGACTGTTACTGAGTCTACCATTATATTCACAAACTGTTACTGTGTCTACCATTATCTACCAGACTGTTACATTGTGTTTACCATTATCGACCAGACGACTTGTTACTGAGTCTACCATTATCTACCAGACTGTTACTCTGTCTACCATTATCTACCAGACGACTGTTACTGGAGTCTACCATTATCTACCAGACTGGCTGTTACTGGTCTACCATTATCTACCAGACTGACTGTTACTGTATACCATTATCTACCAGACTGACTGTTACTGAATCTACCATTATCTACCAGACTGACTGTTACTGAGTCTACCATTATCTACCAGACTGACTGTTACTGTGTCTACCATTATCTACCAGACTGACTGTTACTGAGTCTACCATTATCTACCAGACTGATTACTGTATCTACCATTATCGACCGACTGACTGTTACTGTGTCTACCATTATCTACCAGACTGACTGTTACTGAGTCTAATATCGACCAGAATGACTGTTACTGAGTCTAACATTATCGCCAGACTGACTGTTACTGAGTCTACCATTATCTACCAGACTGTTACTGAGTCTACCATTATCTACCAGACTGTTACAGTGTTCTACCATTGTCTACCAGACTGATTTTTACTTGTGTCTACCATTATCTACCAGACTGTTACTGAGTCTACCATTATCTACCAGACTGTTACAGTGTTCATTCAGTCTCACCAGATGACTGTTACTGTGTCTAACATTATCTACCAGACTGTTACTGTGTCTAGCCATTATCTACCAGACTGTTACTGAGTCTACCATCATTATCTACAGACTGTTGCTGTGTCTACCATTATCTACCAGACTACTGAGTCTACCATTATCTACCAGACTGTTACTGGTTCACCATTATCTACCAGACTGACTGTTACTGAGTCTAACATTATCGACCAGACTGACTGTTACTGAGTCTACCATTATCTACCAGACTGTTACTGTGTCTACCATTATCTACCAGACTGTCACTGTGTCTACCATTATCTACCAGACTGACTGTTACTGTGTCTACCATTATCTACCCGATTACTGAGTCTACATTATCTCCCAGACTGACTGTTACTGAGTCTACCATTATCGACCAGACTGACTGTAGGACTGTGTCACCATTATCGACCAGACTGACCGTTACAGAGTCTACCATTATCGACCAGACTGACTGTTACAGAGTCTTCACCATTATCGACCAGACTGGCTGTTACAGAGTCTACCATTATCGACCACTGGATCTTGCAGATTCTACATTATCGACCAGACTGACTGTTACAGAGTCCACCATTATCGACCAGACTGACTGTTACAGAGTCTACCATTATCGACCAGACTGACTGTTGTATATGACGTCACGTTCACCGCCTCAGATGGTCGTTAAGAGGTCACACCAGAACCCAGCCCGCCAATTAGGGATATTTTAACGTTCTTGTCAAAATATATAAGAAATTGTAAATTTTTTATTTTCGTCCATCTTATGAATAGTATTTACGATAATTTGGAAATATATAGGAGTTAGGTCATCAGATTAGGAGTTACGTCATCAGTGTAGGAGTTACGTCATCAGTGTAGGAGTTACGTCATCAGTGTAGGAGTTACGTCATCAGTGTAGGAGTTACGTCATCAGTGTAGGAGTTACGTCATCAGTGTAGGAGTTACGTCATCAGTGTAGGAGTTAGGTTATCAGTGTAGGAGTTACGTCATCAGTGTAGGAGTTACGTCATCAGTACTGGGGGACGAATCTTCAGGTGATCCTCATTATATATCTACACCTGTAATCACTAGACTGTCTACCTGAGCCACACCTACATGACACCACTCCTGAAGACGGTGATTCATGACGCAAAGTTGTACACAATAGACACACACACACACACACACACACACACACACACACACACAGGTGTTTTTTCTGAACACCACACTGTACCTGGTATGTGTGTGTGTGTGTGTGTGTGTGTGTGTGTGTGTGTGTGTGTGTGTGTGTGACAGGTCAACTCCACGAGGTCGAGGAGGTGGTCAAGTAATGTAAATTATGTCCGGGATGAAGGGAACTACTTGCTAGGGGAGGGAGGGAGGGAGGGAGGGAGGGAGGGGTTGAGGGAGGGAGGGAGGTGGAGGGAGAGGGGGAGGGAGGGTAGGGAGGGAGGGAGGTAGGTAGGGAGGAGGGAGGAGGTAGGGAGAGGGGGGAGGGAGGTAGGGAGAGGGAGGGAGGTAGGGAGAGGGAGGAGGGAGGGAGGGAGGGAGGGAGGTTGAGGGAGGGAGGGGAGGGAGGGAGGCTTGGTGTCTCCTCGGTAACTTTGATAATGGCGGGATAGTCGAAGCCTTGATTATTATACAGTTATATTGGTTCATTATCACCCTGGTTCGACCTCTCCTCCCTCCACCAGTACGACCTCCTCCCTCCCTCCACCAGTAGACCCTCCCCTCCCTCTTCCCACCAGTACGACCCCTCTCTCTCGTCCTTCCACTAGTACGACCCCTTCCTCCTTCCTTTCTCCCTCCTCCCTCCCCACTAGTACACCCTCCCTCCTCCCTCATTCCACACGAATACGACCCCTTCCTCCTTCCTTCCTTCCACCAGTACGACCCTTCCTCCCTCTTCCTTCTTCCAGTACGACCTCCTCCTTACTCTCCCCCATTCAGCA